TGCCAAGCCTGAAAAATTTAGGCCTCAGGCAGGCCCGCCGGCCCAAAGTTCCAGGACTAGCTGTGCACATCAATAAAAGTTACTATACAAATCAGTCAAACTTACTTTTTATGTCATAATCTTACTGTGCAAATAATAACCGTAAATAGTAATTACTATGCAAATAGTAACCGTGAATCGAAAATTTTCCAATAAATAGAGCTCAAAAACTCTTCATTTTATATACCTTTACAAGATTAATAAAACTCACTCTAGTTTCTCTCTCTAAAATTTTTCTTCTTATTTTTTCATTTTCTTAATTTTCATAACACGTTATTAGCATGAATGTTCTATTCTTAATGTCATTTTCTACATTCATTAATTCAAAAAAATGAGGCTCTGATATAATTACAAGTGTCTACCTTAAAGTAAAAGAAAGTTGGTCATATCTCTAGTCCTACTACAAGTTTCTACCCTCATTAACTCAAGTGAAAGGTATGTAAATATACTATATTATTCTATATTCATACAAAGGAGGGCTATGCCACTAACGTATTATAATTTTTATAATTTTGTCATTATACACCTACACCTTTCAAAAAGTTTACCAAATAGTTTGGAGTATTTGTATTCTCATAAATGGACGGCTATCCCGCCTGTAGGTAATAATTTCTCATTGCACTTTTTGCATGCATATTACTATTCTCATTTGTTTATTTTTCTACATCATTTAAGGTATACAATTGTAATTTTTCTTCAACTTCTAATGGTACTATAACGGATTTTAACAACACTATTAATGGCTATAAACGACTAGTTTTTACTCTATAAAATGTGATTTTTCTTAACCCATACAATTTACTTCTCATATTCTCTTCCCCATTCTTCATATTTTTATCTTTCACTTCTCATTTTCTCTTCACTATTCTTAATATAATCTTTACGATATAGTGAATCTAATGATGATGTTTGTTATTTTAGTAGTCACTTTCTATATTTTTGCTCTTTTTATTGGAGATCATTCTCCACACAATTTTCAATTTTTCCTTACAATACTCATACTTGTAATATTTCTTCTTTTATTTATTGCTATTATGATTAACATATAATTTTAATTGTACTCTCTATTGAAATAATAATACTGTGATTCTTATTATATCGATGTTCTGTTATAATTATCACCATGTCGAATCTTACCAAACTTGAGTTCGTTGCACTCGATATCACGAAAAAAATTATATGTCTTAGATCATAGATGTAGAAATGCATCTAGAGTCAACAGGTCTAACCAATACCTTTAAAGAAAATAATAACAAGTCACTACAAGAAAAGACGAAAGCAATGATTTTTCTTCGTAAACATCTTGATGAAGATTTAAAATGCGAATATCTCACGATTAAAGATCCACTTGTCCTTTGGAAAAGTTTGAAGGAGAGATACGACCACCAAAAAGAAGTCGTACTTCCTACCACTCGTGATGAGTGAAATAATTTACGTTTTTAAGATTTTAAGAAAGTCAACAACTACAACTCTGCCATGTTTAGAATTGTTTGGCAAGTGAAATTTTGTTTAGTAAATATCACAAATGGTGAAATGTTAGAGGAAACCTACTCCACTTTCCATGCATCTCACATTACCTTGTAACAGCAATACTATTTACGCGGTTATAAGAAATTTTCTGAGCTAATCTCAGCTCTTTTTGTGGCAGAGAAAAATAATGAATTGTTAATTAAAAATCATCAGTCTCATCCCACTAGTTCATCAGCATTTCCAGAAGCAAAGGCTGCAATCTCTAAAAATCCGAGACGGGGATAAAATCGTGGTCATGGTAGAAATGGTTATTACAATCTTTCACAAAATAACGTGATCCAGAAGAAGCGTTATGACAAAAGAAAAGATGTTGATGCAGGTTGTTTATGGAATCCTAAAGATTCATGTTATAGATGCGGTACTAAAAGACATTGGTCTAGAATTTGTCAAATACCGGAATAGCTTTGTAAACTTTATAAGGCATCCTTGAAGGAGAAAGAAAAGGAAGTAAAGTTTAATAAACACCACGATCCTATAAATGACTCAACTCATCTTGATGTCTCAGACTTCATAGATAACTTTACAGATCAGACTATTAGTGATAATTAGATAGATATATTATGCTCTTATGTATTTGAATTACATTTTGTTTTTTATTGGATATGTTCTATGTATGTTGTACTTCTTTACCTAAAATCCTATGTTATATATTTTCTTAAAATTCATGAAACTTTTATGATATTATTATTATTTTTGTGTGAAGCTTAATATGGATGGAGGTAAGTTCAAAGTTAATACCGGGGAAATCTATATTCTAGATAGTGGTACAACACACATTATCTTAAAATCTGAAAAGTACTTCAATGATTTAAAACCAGTAAAGACAATAATCAATATAATATCAGGTCTTGTAGATCTGGTTGAGGGGATTTTGTAGAGCAGGTTTTGTATTGTCAAATGGAACAAAGTTTTCCATAAATGATGCTCTATTTTCACCAAAGTCCAACAAAAATTTGTTGAGTTTTAAAGACATATATATTCATGGATATGATACACAATCTGAAATTGAAGGGAATGAAAAATATATGTATTTAACTATTAACATATCATGAAAGAAGTACATATTAGAAAAACTTCTAAAACTCTTTTCGGGATTACATTAAACATATATAAATGTGATAGAGTCACACATGTTAGTTAAAGAAGATCCCCAAATATTAACCCTATGGCATGACCTTTTGGGTCATCATGGTTCAATAATGATGCGAAGAATTGTGGAAAGCTCACATGGATATTTATTAAAAGGTCAATAGATATTTCAAATGAATAAAGTTATATGTGAAGCTTGTTCTCTTGGTAAACTGATTACAAGGCTTTCACCAGCAAAAATTAAAACAGAATCACCTACATTTCTTAAATGTATTCAATGTGATATATGGGGGCCTATGCACCCACTGTGGACCATTCCGATACTTTATAGTACTAATAGATGCATCCAGTAGATGGTCACATATTTACTTATTATCAACTCGAAATGTGGCATTTGCGAGATTTCTTGCTCATATAATTAAATTACGAGCAAATGTATTCAATGTGATATATGGGGGCCTATGCACCCACTGTGGACCATTCTGATACTTTATAGTACTAATAGATGCATCCAGTAGATGGTCACATATTTACTTATTATCAACTCGAAATGTGACATTTGCGAGATTTCTTGCTCATATAATTAAATTACGAGCACAATTTCCTGACTATACATCAAGAAAGACTTGATAATGCTGGTGAAATCACATCTCAAGCATTTAATTATTATTGTATGTCCATTGGAATTATTGTCGAACATCATGTTGCTCACGTGCATACACAAAATGATTTGGCTGAATCATTAATTAAACGCCTCCAGTTTATTACTAGACCATTAATATTAAAAAAAGGAAAGAAACCTCCTAGAGTAGTTGATTACATTGTTCTTCCATAATTAGATTTAATTAAAATGTATGTTACTTTTGAAGTCCAGTTACTTATTTGTACCATTTTGGTGAGTCATTCAAGTTTAAATCTTTCACAAATATGATACGTTTAAAATTCAACAATTCAAAAGTGGCATTCCTCTAATTCACCCAAAAGATAACACTCTTCAAATGCAAAGTATTAAATTGTGGAAAATTATTTTGTTTTGTTTTTTTTTTTTTCGAAATGAAAATTCCCATTCAACAATCAACTGCTTCACAATCTGCCTATAAAGCCTCTACATCTAAATGTCTATACATCTATTTTGGGCCAAAAATATTTTTTACATCAATTGGATAGACAAAAAAAGGACAAGTGGATGATAGATTATTTGCCACGTGGGGACTAAACTTTAGCAACTTTTTTATTTTCTTAACATTAAACAAAGATTAAGGTCATCATCTTGGAAGATTAGAGCCACTAATAAGTATCTTAAACATGTGTTCCAACATCCAAAGCAAAAAGAAACAAGTTCCTTAGCATGCACGGTATCTCTCTCCTCCATTTACGGTGCATCAAATTGTTAATCATATATTCCCCCACCGTACACGGCTGCCACGTGTGCCACTCCGAGGGTATTCTAGTAATTCGAGAAGTCCCAATAATCGTAACCAGCCAATGGGTGAATAGCAACCACACGTTTTTCAACTTTTTCCCACTCTTCGAAGCATCAACACCAGCAATAGTGGAGCGAGTACTTATAGTTTCAACAGCCTCAGCGAGTGGGAAAAAATAAAAAATCTGATAGAAGAAACTTGAAGATAGCGTTTGAGCCACTTGAAGGCCACAAGCGAAATTCTCCCCCCCCACAGATTGCCACGTGTCAGCATCACGTCCATAAACAAGACATTACCTTAGCTTGCCTCCCTATGGACCGAGCACTCACGAAAAAAAAAAAAAAAAAAAAAAAATTTAATATAATAAAAAAAAATCAAAGATTAGAAATATCTCAACGAGACAAGGACACACACACACACATATCTTCCAGGGGTGGGACCCACCCAAAAAATATCTTCACTTAAATAAACTAAAAAAGAAACGGGTGTTTTTCTTTTTCTTTTTGTTTTCATTTTCAACAAGACCGGCCCAATCAAACCCCTTTTTTATTCTTTTTATTTTTAATTTCTTTGTGGAAAAATTTTGCACCACCAAACCAATAAACATCGAAAAATAAAAAAAAATAAAAGTAGGAAGAGTAGGCGCAGCCCAATGGGGATTCGTCATTCGATCGATCCAAGAGTGTGTGGCCTCCGTGCGTCCTAGATTGGGTTGATGACGTGGCTCTGTGTGGGCCCCACTCCCACTGAGAGAAAAAGAAGATATTTTTGGTCTTGAGGTTTGTTTGGGGTTAAAGATATTTTACTGCCGTTGGCCATCGGTTGGTTGAGCCATCTCCGCCGTCCGATTTGCAATAAATAAACAGGACGACGATTTATTCAGATATTTTTAAAGTATCTGACGGAAAGAAAAAAAATCAAACTTTTTCTTTCTTCTCTTTTGTTAGTTATACTTTCTTCTCTTCTCTTCTTCTCTAACCAGAGGATGAGATTTCAGATTCGCTCCAACTTCTTCTTCTTCTTCTTCTTCTTCACTGGAACGTAAAAACAGAATTTTTTTAGAGAGAGAGAGAGAGAGAGATTTGAAGTGTTTCAATGGGGGAGGTGGTTCTGAGCAGTGAGGATTTGGAGATGAACGCAGCAACAGAGACAGAAATGAATACTTGGAGTAATAACAACAATAAGAACAGTAATAATTATGGAAGTTGGAAGAAGAAAGATGGTTGTAGTTCGAGCGGGGCGATTACGAGGTGTGACAGGTTCTTGCCGGGGATGATGATGCGGGTTTTGTTGGTCGAAGCCGATGATTCCACCAGGCAGATTATCGCCGCTCTTCTCAGGAAATGCAGCTACAGAGGTCATTTTCTTTTTTCTTTTTACCTTCATTTTTGGTTGTGCTCGTTCAGTTGATGCTTTTGATTGCCTTTTGTTTTCTTTTATTTTGGTTCTTAATTCGGTTTTATTGGCTTCTTTTGTTTGAATTGCGAAATGGGTTTTTGCTGGATTTTCAGTCTAAAGTATATTTTTTCTGTCTCCTGAATTTGGGAGTCAGCCTTAGACTTTCAGTTGTTCAAGTGAGTTGACTCCCAACCATTTTTTTTTCCAGTTGTACAGTTGGTGAATTCTATGTTCTTATGTTGGTTTTTCCTGATTCTTGAAGTAGAGCAACGTAAACTAGCGATAGTAATAGATGTAAAACGAAGTTGTAAAACTAATCCCTTAGAAATGAATTTTCTGTTTTTCGGGGTGTACCTCAGCAGTATTGCAATTTTGATAGCAATTTAAGCCATTTCAAGCGATTTGACACGATATGGTTGTTTAAGAAATCCTTTTCTTACCTTCTTTTAGTCATGTACTTTATATAATATATACTTATATATTTTTAGAACTCATCAACAAATTTGGCTTGAGCTTAGAATTTTATCTTAGCAACTGATTTTTTTTTTTTTTGGCAGTTGCTGCGGTGTCCGATGGCTTAAAGGCATGGGAATTACTGAAGGGAAGACCACACGACGTGGATCTCATATTGACGGAAGTGGATCTGCCTTCAATATCTGGGTTTGCACTGCTCACACTGATTACGGAGCATGAAGTTTGCAAAAACATTCCTGTTATAAGTATGTTTACTTATAAATTAGGTGTTGCCTTTTTTCAATCTTAATTTTGTTTTATCATTTTGGTATTTATTTATTTATATATATTTTTGATCGTTGCAGTGATGTCCTCTCAAGATTCAATTAGCACAGTCTACAAATGTATGATGAGAGGTGCTGCCGACTATCTTGTTAAGCCTATTAGGAGGAATGAACTGAGCAATCTGTGGCAGCATGTTTGGAGAAGAAAAGCTGTATGCATATGCCTTATACTTTAATAAGTTAGGTTATTATTTAATTTGAATCCTTTTCTTACTTTTGTGGCAATCTGACAATGTTGTTTCATCAGTCAACTGCAAATGGCCCCCAAGACGAAAGTGTTGCGCAACAAAAGATTGAAGCCACTTCTGAAAACAATGCTGCGAGCAACCATTCCAATGGAAACACAGCGTGCATACAGAGAAATGAGGACAACATTGACAAAGGGAGTGATGCCCAGGTTAGTGTCTCTGATTCAATGTTCAAGCCTCCAAAGCAGTGGATGGTGCCTGGATTAGCATAAGTTCTGTTCTTTTAATTTATCCATTTTGTGGATAATTACATAGTAACTTGATCAAAATGTGGTGTAAAACGGGAAAAAAAAAAAACAAAAAAACAAAAATGAAAAAGGATATAAAATTAGTAGCTTGTCTAGATTTGAACGCTAATCCAGCGGATAAGTATAACTGGCTCTGCAGTTTAGCTATTGATTCAATAGATTAGTTGTCAAGTTGACAGAATTGGAATTGGTAAAATATCCAGTATGAATCAAATATCTTACTAAAGAGAAGGAAATTTGTAACTTTCAAATTTAAAAGCAACGGTTGAGGTTCTCCTCCTAGTTTGCCTAAACCCCTTAGAAGAAATGTGGATTGTTCATGCACTAGTTATCATGGAGGATGGTGTATGTCTAAACCAAGGAATATGTAATTGTCCATAAGGCTGCTCATGGTGAAAAGGAATTTCCTTTCGGTTTAGGTTGGTTACATGAAGTTTTATATAGAGACTGCGTGTTTGCTGTCTTTTGCAGAGCTCTTGTACAAAGCCAGAAATGGAAGTTGAGAGTGTCCACATGGAAAAAATGCAGGAATTTTCGCAGCCAACAGAGGGGACGTCTTTTCCGAGTGACTTGAGAATACAGAAAGATGGAGGGCACATCAATCTGGGGCAGAAATTGCTTATGCATGGAATTGAGGCCAGAGGTGAAAATCTTGACAATGTTTTAGTTTCTTGTATTTTTTTTAATCCGTAGGCAAATAGTACCTAACCTTTTGAGATGCTGCAATTTAATTAGGTTTGTCGATGGGTGCCTTTGAAGATACTGATGCAGGAATAACGCTAGGCAAGGGTTTCAAGCCAGAAGGTGTCAGGAGTGATGCTTGTGAGACTAACACTGTCTTGTCCAAACGTTCTAGAGATCCCATTGACTTGAATGGAGTTTTGAACGATAATCCAAGTTGCGATTATCAAAATTCCTCTTCAAGTAATGGGACTAGCAAGTTGGATTCTGGTCCAAGATTAGATCTTACCTTGAGATCAAATTCCAGTGGCTTTGAGAGTCATGTTATCGAGAAAAGGCACACCCTCGGGCATTCTAATGCTTCGGCATTTACTCGGTGAGATTCTATTTCCATTTCATTCTTTTTAATTTTGGCTTTTTCCTCCACTTAACTTTGATGCTAATTAGTTTTGAGATTCTTCATACAGATATATCAACAGGCCACTGCAGCCCCTAAATCCCACTCCAGCCAGTTCTTTTGATCAAGAGAAAGAATGCGGAACAAAAGCTGAAAAGCGTATATCCAATGTAGTCACTGGTCTAAGTTATAACTATGACTTTCCCGGTCCCTCACTAAGCACTCCGAAAAGTGTGATTACTCTCGCCACTGGTCAATCCAACCACTCTGAAGTAGCAACTTATTGTTCTCAACAAAGAGTATTCCCTCTACCAATTCCTGTTAAAGGTATAAGGGTTAATAATCCCTGTGCAGGCTATGGTTCTGTAGTGCCGCCGGTGTTTTGTTCGCAATCAGGTTCGTCATCCATGGTCAGCCCAAGTTCTGTTGCCCAACAAGAATCCCCATTAGGAATGAATACATTTTACCAAACGAATCGCAAAACAAACAAATCCGAGCAGGTATATGATCCACTTTGTCGAGATGCCAACATTACCCTAGACCAAGCTATCCACAATCAAGAACATAAGTTGGATTCTTTGGATGATAGGGGGCATATCTCTCCCACCACTGATCAAAGTGCGACTAGTAGTTTCTGTAATGGGAATCTAAGCCATCTTAATAGTATTGGGTATGGAAGTGCTTGTGGAAGTAACAGCAATGTGGATCAAGCTGTCTTGGTCAGGACTGCTTCTGAGAGCAAGAATGACGAAAGTTATTTTACAAACAATGCGAACTCTCATCGATCAATCCAAAGACAAGCAGCTTTGACAAAGTTCCGCATGAAAAGGAAAGATAGATGCTTTGAAAAGAAGGTACAAAGTCATCACCCTTCTTTGGTATAATACTTGGTGTTTCATTCTTGTTATCCAAAAATGCTTCATTTCTCTAATGCGACATTTGTTCCAGGTTCGTTATGAGAGCAGAAAGAAACTCGCGGAGCAGCGTCCCAGAGTTAAGGGACAGTTTGTTCGCCAAGTGCTGACTGAGCCTTTTCCTGCAGTAACTGATGTGAATTTATAAAAGGGTGTCAAATTTTGCTTCTGATAGTTAGAGAGACGAGCGCATGAATGGTTGAAAAACTCCGAATGATCCGATATATAGCTTATTCAACCTCCTATTTACAGCATAATGTAACTATTGTAGTATAACTATGTAATTTGTACTAGTTACCAGAAGCCCCGGCTTACTCATTCTTTTTTCCTTTTTGGTAGCTGTGAATTTGTTCATTGACAATCTTGTAGGTATAATACTGGTATAGCTATACGCACTTGGTTTAGGCATATTTCTTTGTATGGAAAGTAGATGAAACTTTGGAGTCAAAACCTGTGTTATGTACTTTATAATGACACCAGCAATACCATTCACGTACTTGTGTAGTATCGGTGCCTGTTTTTCCCTCAACTATAGTTCTTCTCTACATATTATAGCTCAATTCAAGTGAAATAGAAATGGCATTTCAAAATAATGTCCTGAACTTTACAAATATGGAAGTTTCTTCTGTCTTTGTTACAGCTCATGTTCATTAGTTAGAAATTGTAAAATAGTTTAATAGGCCCCATTTCTTGCGCCGTTGAGAACTTGAGTTGAAATGTGAAAAAAAAAGTCATTGTAGTATAAAAAGTTAAATTTAAATTTTTTGAGAGAAAATACGGTAACAAAAACTTAAATTGTGATTTAAACTAATGAAATGAACGGGGTCTATATTATTATTTTAATATAATATGTTTAGAATCAAGCACAACGACCTTTGTGGTGTCTCAAGTCAAACAGAATATGCCCTTTTCTCCACTAGTTACGGTAGGTGTTTCTTCCATAAGCATTACAATAAATATTAGGCACGTTAGGAACTCGTTCTAAAATAATTTTAATTTTTATATAAAAATGAAAACGTTTTCAATCTCAGACAGAAATCATTTTTAAAAATGCGTTTGGTAGTTTTATCAAAAGATCATTTTTAGTATAAAAATCTCATTAATGTCTCTCTTTTTCTCTTTGCTCAAGAGAGGAGAAAATAAAAAATAAAAAAAAAACGACTGAAAATCGTTTTTCATTTATCTCTCATTTTACACTAAATAAAAAAATCGTTTTCATTTCTGTTTTTTGTCTTTATTACGTTAAACACCGTTTTAAAAATGTTTTCATTATTTCTTTCTCAAAAAATGTGAAAAATAAAAACGAGATCAATTCTAAACACGGCCAAGAGCAGCGAAAGTGTGGACTACGCAATTTCTCAGAGCGAGAAAAGTAACAAAGTGAACCACAACTAGCTAAAGAAATTGTAAACAGAATATCATCAATGATATTAGCCTCAGGTAATGTCAAAATTGCGTCCGATTCAATAACCCAGTTGGAGAGCCCTTTGGGATTGAGCAAGTAAAACTCCTTTCCTCTGGGATTGCTAGTTTCTCTATTTTAGAAAAGCGTTTTCTAGTTCCTCTAATTTATTGTACGGATTAGCCTTAGTAAGTGGCCTTTTTTTTTTAGCAAAGTGATGCTGCCCTTTGCTATATTTTCTTTCAGGGTCCGCCATTGAAATAAAGTAGTGATGCGTCGTAATACCATAACAGAAAAAAGAAGAAAACAACAAGAAGTAAAAAAAAAAAAAAAGTACCAAAACCCAATGTTGGAACTTTGGACGGGCCGCCTGCGACCGACCGAAAAAACTGAGTTTTTGCCCGAGCTCGAGCCCAACCCGCCCGAAAAATTTGGGCCGCCCGCCTGAGCCCGAATTTCACTTTGAACGGGCCGCGGGCTTGTAATAGGCCGCCCGAGCCCGCCCGATTTGCCCAAAATTTTTTAAATATTTTTTAATTTTTATAATTATTAAGTTAGTTTGTGTTAAAATTATGTAAAAATCAAAATCAACATTCAATAGACTTTATTAACACAATTGAATAAATTAATCATGTATATTATTGATGTATTAAATTCGTAATTCATGATTGTCTCGTTAAAAACCTTACCAAGAAAAACCTAATTGGGATAAAAACTTGGCAAGGAAAAAAGAGTGCAATCATTTTGTGACGAATTACAAATTTTACAAACTTACAAAGTTATACAATTACAAATACAATGTCCAAAGTAAATACATATTTACAAATTACAAATTTACAAATTAATTTGAAGCTGAAGGATCGTCTTCAAAATTAAATGTTAATCGATTAAATTCATCAATTCATTCTTGACTTGCCGGCGAAATTATATCCTGTAGACGTTGATCGACACGATCCCAATTCTTAATGTAGACCAAGGCTTCAACAATGTCCTTTGCAATGCATTCCGGCGATCCTCAAGTATTCGTCATGTCGTACTGAAGGCTTGTTCGGATGAAACAATGAAGACTGGGATACAAAATATATCCATTACCAATCGAGTTAGGATTGGCCAAGTTAATGCCCGTGCCCTCCACCATTGAACTAAGTCAAACGATTCTGCCGTACTGTGGACTACTAAGCCTTCACTGAGGTACGTCATAAGCTCGTTGAAGCTGCCGCCGCTGCTGCCACTGCCACTTGTTGACAAAGATTCAATTTCAGCTTCTGTTTGAGTTGTCTTCTTCTTCTTCTTCAACCCGAAAACATTCAAGAATGAATGCGGATTTTCGTCTTGTTGTTGCGTTTCCTATACTCTATGAGGTACTCTAAACCTAATATCATATTTACTATAGATCGAATATATTTTATCCTTTATTATTGGATATTGGTCCTTACAATTGATGCCTAAAAATTCACCTAAGTTTTCTAAACCACTTTCTAAACCTTCTAATTTTAATCTAGGATAAAAAATAGTACATAAACCATACAACAAAGGCAACTTAGACCAATATTTTATAAATTTCTTTTCCATAGGAACGGCTAAGATTGGGTCTTTCCTATATTCGCTAAATAAAATACTAATTCGTAAAAGTTCTCCTAAGGCTAAAGGTGATGTTGGGTAATATGTTCCACTAAGTTTTAGAGTCACTTCATGAAACCTACCTAAAAATTGATACAAAACTTCGACGATTTACCAATCA